ACACAACGTACAGTTGCGTACGAGATATCGCATACAGAACGTACAGTTTCGTAGGAGATATCGCAGACATAATGTACAGTTGCGTAGGAAATATCGCAGACATAGCGTACAGTTGCGTAGGAGATATCGCATACAGAACGTACAATTGCGTAGGAGATATCGCATACAGAACGTACAGTTGCGTAAGAGATGTCGCCTACAGAACGTACAATTGCGTAGGAGTTATCGCATACAGAACGTACAGTTGCGTAGGAAATATCAATACATACCGTACAGTTGCGTAGGAAATATCGCATACACAACGTACACTTGCGTAGGAGATATCGCATACACAACGTACAGTTGCGTAGCTGATATCTTATACACAACGAACAGTTGCGTAGGAAATATCGCATACATAGCGTACAGTTGCGTAGAAAATATCGCATACATTACGTACAGTTGCGTAGGAGATATCCCATACACAACGTACAGCTAGTTAGACATGTCGAGAAACGTATGAAGGGCCTAAGTACATATCCGGATCTTGCTCTGCCTCGTGACCTCTGCGAGGCGCAACCAGCTGTGCCATACAAAAATGTGCCTCAGCAGTCTGTGCCAGATACACCACGTGTCGTAAAAGATACCGAACATTCCTGGGAATACACCCGCTTTGTTTCCTGAGATGTAGTTCGTCCGGTAACGGCACCTGAATTTACCTACCACTCTGCGGCCGAAAAACTCCAAACTCCGCACTCACACTTAAGGCGCCTCGAATAACCGGCTGTATACTGATGTACCATAAAGAGTTCATAGGTAGTCTACAGTACCGAACATCGAGTGTAGCTACTTCCTCGGGCCATGACCTTCTCCATTGCAGATATATGTCGTGCACCTCTGAGTGCATGGTAGTAGGATATACATTATGCCGTAGTATGTATGTCTCCTCACAGGTAGTAGTGGGATATACATCATACTGCAGTATGTAAGTTTTCTTACAGATAGTAGTAGAGTATACATTATACTGTTGTATGTATGTCTTCTGACACGTAGTAGTAGGATATGCATTATACTGTAGTATGTATGTCTCCTTACAGATAGTAGTAGGATATACATCATACTATAATATGCATGTCTTTATACGAATAGTAGTAGGATATGCATTATCTTGTAGTATGTATATCTTCTTACAAATTATCGTAGTACATTTCAATCTTCTCTAAGAGGATATCCTTCTTGCCGCTTTGAGACTGTCCGATTAACTTGAGAAACGTTTTCAGATCGGTGTTGTTGACTGATTTCAGCTTCCCACTGGCATGTAGTCTGATAGGCCGTGTCATAAGAAAGGTAAACGAATAGTGGTTGAGTTAAGATGGTAGATAAGTTATATGCCTACGTACACGAGAGATTATGCGCAGATATAACAAACCCTACATACAATAAGAACGGTAAAAGAATAGTGGTTGAGTTAAGATGGTAGATAAGTTATATGCCTACGTACACGAGGGATTATGCGCAGATATAACAAACACTACATACAATAAGAAAGGTAAAAGAATAGTGGTTGAGTTAAGATGGTAGATAAAATATATGCCTAAGTACACGAGGGAATATGCGCAGATATATCAAACACTACATACAATAAGAAAGGTAAAATAATAGTGGTAGAGGAATTATGCGCAGATATAACATACATTACATACATGTGTACGGTTCAACGAATGGATGCATGTGTATGTATAGACGAATGAATACATGCATGTGTGTGCCATTCAGTTTCTTGGCATCTCGTGTTCACATCACAAGAAAACCCTCAGATATACGCGCCATTCTGTAGACGACTGACATCCAGCGACAAAAATAGTACACGCAGAAAACAAGTCAGAGAGATACAATCAACACACACACACACATACATACACACATACATACACACACACATACATACATACACACACATACATCATACATATATACATCCAACACACTTCGGAAGACTCACCGCTTGATCCTAGCTCCCAGGTCCTCGTCCGGATCAATCACTTCTTTGGGCGCAGGTCTCTTCTTGGATATAACAAAAGCGCTACGGGGATCATAGTCCTCGGCGTATACACTGAGTTTTAACTTTCGGAGCGATTCACCAGCCAATTCTCTGAGGAATGAGGAAGATATAAAAATTGAGATTAGCGGATATGTATGCCCGTGCGAAGACACATCCGAAAAGGTGACCATGAATTTGTCTGACAATCGTCTCCAGCATTCTTGCACACAGCTAAATGTATGGCAGAAAATATGTGTATATCCCCATACATACAT